ATCCCAACTGAATAGGTACTCTTTTTTGTTAAAAGAAATCATGTAAATATAATTAAAATTGTGTTAGCTTATTATAGATAAAAGTTAAATATAAAAGTGTAAGGCATTATTTATTTGCACTTAAATAATGAAGTTCTGAATCTGAATGGTTTAGCTATTAGGTATTAACTGTGTTTATTTTTTTACTTAAAATTTTTTTTAATTGGTCTGAAGAGGTTTGAATGAATTAGATGCGTGATAGAGTTTTATTCTCATTCAGACTCTTTTAAGACTTTTTTATTTTCAGAAAAAAATTGTTTTCCATAATTTTTTCTTTAAGAAAAAAAAACAAGTCTTTCTCATTCTCCGACTTTGTTGGTTATCCAAATTATTCTATTAAACTTTTAATTTTTGTTCTTGTTGGTTGTTTGTCAAGAATTGCAAAAATTTTATTTGATTAAAGTGTGTGCAACTTCATAAATGTGTTGTTGAAATCGGACGATGTCACCTTTATAAATTTGTTTAAAATCATTTGAATGTGTCATGTTCATTATTTATTTTATAGAAGACTACATGGACAATATTGAATTATTTTTTTCAAAAAATGATGACTACATTTTTTCTAAGTATTATTTTTATTATTATAATTTATATATGTAGTCCATGTAGTTTCATTTTATTTTTATCAAACTTAAAATATTTATTTATAATTCAAATATCTTAACGTTTATCAAAGAATGACGTTTTTCTAATCTTTTTGTTAATGTAATATGTGTCTACTATTTTATTTAAATTATAATATTTATTGTGTTTATTATTAATAAATATAATAATATATAATCATTTAGATATGCATTCAGATTCAAACATCTTAATCTGAAAACAAATGAGGCTTAAGTACAAGATATCATTATTGATGATTTTTATATACCTAACTTAATAAAGGAAGAAATACTATTAAGTAAATTATGTGTTCAAGCTTTATAATTATTATATATTTATTTCTCGCGAGATGTTTACGTTTGTAGTGTGTAGTGTCTAGTGGAGCTTGATTAACTTTAATTCGCGCACGACACTCATTTCTTACTTTCAACAAAAAATGGAATGTGATAATTTTATTGCTTAGTCAGTTAGGTGGTGTTAATTTAAAAAGAGTTTTGTATTGGGTTGTGTCATTGATATATCGAATCTAGATTTTATATGAACCAAATAAATAAAGATAAACTATCTTATTAGACATACATCATTACTATATATATTAATATTATTTTTACTTTCAAACAATTACATATATTACCATTTTTAATATTTTATACCATATATTAATATATTATTTGAAGATATAATTAGATTATTAGATACCCACATACCTTAAAACTAGGATTGATTAATTATCTGCTTAATTAATTCTTTCACTCCAAATCAACTACTATCTCTTAATTCTCCACTCCCATATTTATCACGCAATTATGTCTCCTCCTTTATGATTCAGGAATTTCATCCTACAATTTCATTCCAACAATAGTTAATCTACTCTCTTCTTCTCAAGATATCATCACCATGGCCGACAAATTCTTCTGAACCCAAATATTATTATGTATTGTTCATTTATAACTAGATCAAATCAAAGTAACTGCTACAGAGAAAACTTTAATTCAGAGTGGGTCTTGATTGTTTGTCTCCGGAAGAAATGAATCTTAGTTTTGATTATGTTATGCCACAATGCAAAAGGATCAAAGGGAGTATTGTAGAGAGTTTTTGTTTGCTGGTGTTCTTCTAAGGCTTTCTTTGGTTACCGTGACATGGATTTGGTAGTAACAATATTACTTTGATATAGCCCTTGAAACATGTGTATCCAATAAGTAGTAATCTTAATTAAGATCTGAGTTGTATTTTTAGTAATGGGGTGTCTGACCATGTATATGTATCTACCATTAAATTTCGGATACATGATTTTTAACAACACGATGATATTAATGATACGATAGATACTCTACAGTCGTGATTTGTTCCTAAATTCATGTGATTCAACTACATTTCATATTTAAATACACATAATTAAATGTATATGCTTATTATGTATTCAAGATACATGTTTTTGGATATAACGTATGAAATTTAAATACACATAATTAGATGTATATGCTTCTTCTTTTTGTATATTCCATATTTAGATACACATAATTAGATATATATGTTTACTATGTATTCGAGATACATGTTTTTGGATATAACATATGCAATTGATACTTGATACATCAAATTAGTACTAGATACATATAAAAGATACATGAAATTAATATTTTATATATATATATAAATAGATACATAAAATTAATACTAGATACCTATAACAAATACATGAAATCAATGCTAGATACTTCTATGATACATATGAATGTACTTGCAGAACACTCATGTATCTAAGTGTTTAGTTTGTTGGATACATCATATATTGATATAGATACATCAAATTAATGAATTTATTATTTTAAGAGTAATAATTTGAAATTAATCAATTTGCATTACCAAGATATACATGTTTTTATCTTATATTAATAATACTAATGAATTTACTATTTCTAAGAATAATAAAATGAAATTAATTATCTATGTATTTTGAAAATCCTCAATTACTCCTCTAATTAAGGAAATCAGTTCCAACCAATTAATTTAAATAAATAAATTTTGTATCTCAATTTTAAAATTCTGCAGATACTTCATGTATCTCATGGATTTAGACTCATGTATCCTAAGCATAAAATATGGTACAGGAAGTATTGAGAATCTTAATAATTAAGACCTAAACTAGTGGGATTTATGTGGTTTGCCCAAAAATAAAAGGTCATGTGTGTAATTAAATTTTTAGATTAAATTTCATATAACTGTGCCGTTAATGAAAGGGTAATTTTAAGCATTAAAATAGCGTCAGACACAATTTTAATCCACTAGATCAAAGAATTAATTTTGAGTCAATTCTAATATATTAAGGCTATTTTTTTATCTAATAGACTGAAGGAGGGACAAATTTAATCCAATAAATTTATAATACATTGAGGATATTTTGATCCTTTTTCATTTTCTATGTTCACATCAAAATCTTTCTTCAAACAAAAAATGGAAGAGAAGTTTTGATAAAAAGAAAAAATATGTCATATTGTTATTTAATTTCGAGATTAATTATGAGATTATCATCCCCGGTACAGTGATTCATAGAAAATATCATAATTTTGATATAAAAAAAACAATTCAAAAATTGCTAATTTCAGAATTAAAAAATATTATACGTACCTAGTAATAAAATAAATAATTCCCACAACTTATTGCAAGATTATAGAATAACTAATTATTATTTTTATCTAGAACTAGAATAGACACAACAAGTCTATGAATTCACACTGATTTTGCAAGCTTCTTTAAGAAAAGAAAAGAAATCGATCAACTTATATATACATTGATCCTCGGTCGAAAACAATTCAAGATACTCTTAATACAAATGTAATATCATTTGTCTTTAGATTAAGTTCGAGTGACTTTTCCTAAAATTTTCACTCGATTAAGAATATATATAATACACCTAATTATTATATATAGCTTCATTATCTTTTCAACTATACCACTATGTAAATTTTGTTGGCACCCCATGAACAAAAGTTTTACCCCATATTCATCACCTCATCAACATAGTTGGAGATTAAATGTGGTGTGTGTCACCTTTCCCCATCAATTGAGTATCTATAACCATGAAAGCTACATTTAAAAGTAATAAACCATAATTTTCCTAAAAAGGATTCTCACCATTGAAAGTATTACTATATAAATATATATGTAGCTTCATTTTATTTTCAACTACGTATCAATGTGAAAATTTTATTTGTATACTGGAAAGCTTTCTCCGAATTAAATTTCACACCAATCGTTATTTACAGATTAACTGATTGTCACTGGCTCATCAATTGAGTATTTATAGCCATCAAAACTATAGATAAAAGTAGTAAACTATTAATTTTCCTAAAAAATGTCTCATATCATTAATAGCACCATTACACCATAGTTAATTCATGTTATTTTTAGCTACCAATAGAAAAGTTTGTTCTTGCACCCAACCCCCACAACTCTTGTTTAAGAAATCATGGGAAAATATTACGCCCTAATGATGCTTCATTATTATATAACTAAAACTAATTAATGCCTCCACAAATTATATTGAGTACTACTCCCTTAGTTCCTTTATAGTTGGTATTATAAAAGTTATGCACAATTCTTAAGTTGACTAATATACTCATTATTAATTTTTTACTTCCTCTCTTTCAATTTATGTGATACTTTTCATTTGTCAAACAATTTAAGTTTGACTAGGAATTTGCGTATGAAAGCTTCGAGCTTTTAAAAATAAAATTTGTATATTTATAAACTACATAAAAAGTACTATAAGTCACAATAATTAACAATTCAAAATATTTAAAAGACATGAAATTTTTTGATAAAAAATAGGCTTGTTTAAATCTTGAAATTCGAAAAGTGTCACATAAATTAAAACGGGAAGAGTAATTTTAAAAAAAATAATCTATTTTTGTACTTCTTAATTCTAAAATAACTAATGCTAAGTGAAGTTGAAAAAAAATAATTAATTCTTATATTAACATAAAATAATTTTTTTTAATATACATGACAATTAGAAAGAAACAAAGTAAGTGAATACTAGTAGACATAGCCATGAAATCCGAAAACAAATTAGAAAGAACAAAGACAAAAGTAAAACTAAGGAACAAACACAAAGAAAAAAATTATTAGGAATAATATTCAAAAAAGCAGAAATCTTATAAAGCAATTACTCTACAAAATTGATTACAAGCCTAATTAGTAACCCAGAGTGGTCCAACAAAGAGGCAAAGTAGTGGTAACTAAGGAAGCAAAAAAGATACGAGCTCCCAGAAAGAGGTAAAAATGAATCACAAACATCATATTACAAAATGTCCTTATTGTGTGTTATATATGGTGGTAGTGTTTGGTGAAGAACCTCAAATTCCAAGAGATTGCCAGTATTTCTCAAATGACTCATCTGGGGGTGACCTATTGAGTAATATGTCATCCAATCCATCCAAATCAAAATCAAGATTAGTTCCTTCAATTTTCCTTTCATTACTCTGATTTTGGTAAATATTCGACGAGGCTTGATCAGTAGGACCCACATACACCCCTTCTCCCGTTAGCACAATATTGTCCTGAGGTGGCGTTGAATTAGTATTTGATATTTGGCCAAACTCAGGTGGCGTTGAGTTAGTATTTGATGTTTGGACAATCTTAGGTGGTGTTGAGTTAGTACTTGATGTTTGGCCAATCTCCAATGGTGTTGAGTTAGTATTTGATGTTGGGCCTATCTCAAGTGGTGTTGGGTTAGTATTTGATGTTTGGTCAATCTCATGTGGTACTGACTTAGTATTTGATGTTTGGCCAATCTCGTAAGTGGTTCTCATACCATCCAATATTAATGCAGCATGGCTATCACATAGATATTTCATATTCATGGTTGTATCATGTGGTTGATCAGATGTGATTAGGGTTTCGAATTTTCGCTTTAGTGATGGTTGTGGTTCTCCATTGTTATGATCAGTCGTGAAGAGATTGGGCCCAATTAAAGAATTAATCAAGTTCCTTTGCTCTTTGATTTCTGATTTTTTCTTATAAATTCTGCAGGCTGCAATATCCTCGTACTGCAAGTAATACAAAGTAAAAATAATCTTAGTAGTCTATGTTTTTGTCAGCAATATGAAAAGATTTGCATAGTTAAGATCTACGTAAAAAAAATTACTCAAGAGACAAATTAAAAGAGAGGGTATACATACATATTCGTCCTCTTTTGATGATATTGAGGGATAGACGAGCTTGTTAGAAATTACATACTCGTGCATTATCCATTCTGCGGGAATATCCACTTTGCCGCCTGCTGAGTTTTTAAAATGATATTTAAGTGTGGTTTTTTTACCCAACTCAGAGCCATCTTGAGCAAATACTGTAGTTTTTTTGCTTGTTGATTTCCAATATCCTATTCCGTCTCTTGTAACCCGAGCAGTGTTTTTTTTTCCATTTACATATTTTCGATCTCTCTTCGTGAAGAAGTACGTATACTCCCCGTCCATATTAACTCCTGCAATAGTTACACTATTAAATACAACATCAAACTTACATATATGAAAAAATGACGTTATATTAGGTATAAAGTAATATGTATGCCAAACTAAATAAAATCCCTCAATCTCTTTTCCCCGCAAACTGCCAATATCCCTTTTTTACGAAAAAAAATTAATCAAACTGCATTAATCTATGAGCTATCTGGAAGTTAATAAGGGTTACATCCGTAGAGGTCAAATTGATATATTATTCCGAGCAAGGTATAGTTTCCGGTGACATGATGAAAAAGATAATATTGTAGTATTTCTTCATTTGTCGAACAAAACTTGGAGAAATTAGATATGTTTTTTTTTCCTTACCAATTTGCCCTAACTAGATAATCGGTAATTTCTAATATATATTGTTTTATTTTATTTTTAATTTCTTTAGCTTTCTATTTCTTTGATAGTCTATTAGTTGGTTCTCTTTTTATAGGTTGATGGCGGATAAACTTTAGGCACTTGATTTTTAAACTTCCTATTTCTAATATATTTGAGTTCTAAATTTTACATTGTTTTATATGGTTTAGGTAATAAATATCTTTTAATTATCCCAGTGTGATAAGGGTTATTACCACATATTCACTTGTCTCCCTTATTTTATAAGGGTAAAAAAGTAATTTCATTAACCTTATTTTTATATGATTGATGTTTTTAAGTTTACTTATCAAGCCATTTATTTTAAAGAAAAAGAAAACTCATGATCTAGAATCCCAAATGAATTTGAAACTAGTTTAAAGTCTGAAAAATAAATATAATAGGTTGAATTTTAAGTTTACTTATCTATACTCATTTAGGCCATTTATTTTAAGGAAAAAAGAATTTTCACGTTTTATTACTTATCCATACTCATTTAGGCCATTTATTTTAAAGAAAAAGAAAAGTCACTATATGAATTTGAAACCAGATTAAAAAAACAAGGAGGTTGGTCTCCTACTATATTTTTGAAAAATTAATGTAATTATAGAATAAATTTCAATAGTTAGGCATATTTTATATTTTATAAATCAGTTCTTTTATAAATAAAAAAAGGGATTCATGATTATCATTATTGTTATTTTTTAAACCCAAGTATAAATCAAATATTTTGGTTTCTTAATATATTATTTCAAGATTTAACAAGTACAAAAAATACAAGGTACATACATATATAGAGTTCGGAGCCAAAAGAACAACTTTTTTCCTTCAAAAAAATTTAAATCAAAAGGGCAAAATCGCTCTTGATATCTTTAGAACAAAATTGACTCCGTTTACGCTGTTAAAAGAAATTAAAATCGTTGTTGTTGTCAAAAAATATTTATTTTTTAAAACTAAAATCGCTGCACCAGCAGCGATTGAAGCAGCAATTTTCCTCAATTTTTTAAATTTTTTTAATTATCGCTGCTTTGGCCTATTGTTCAAAAAAAAATTCCTCAAAAAAATTGTGTATCAACTGCCTATTGTTCAAGTAATAAATTTTAAAAAAAAGTTTGAGGAAAATTGAGCAGCGATTTCATGTTTTAAAAAATATAAAATTTAAGAAAATCGATGAGCAGCAATTTTAATTTTAAAAAATAATATTTTTTTTGACAAAATCGCTGTTGGGGCAGCGATTTTAATTTTTTTTAACAGCGTAAACGGAGTCAATTTTGTACTAAAGATATCGCTCCCTTAAGAGCGATTTTGCCCCTTTGATTTTATTTTTTTATATATACCGTTTATGTTTTTTTGAAAGAAACTCTACATAAATAAGTCATGCATAAGGAAGAAGCACAAGTTATATAAGTCATGCATAAGGAAGAAGCTCAAGTTATATAAGTCATGCATAAGGAAGAAGCTCAAGTTATGATACCTGGAAGGTGATCAGGGTTACATTCGTAGAGATCGACTAGAGGTATTATTTCGGGCGGGATATAGTTTCTGGTGACATGACGAAGAAGATAATATTGTAGTATCTCTTCATCAGAAGGACAAAACTTGAAACCCGGTGGGATTTGTTGCTTCCATTCTTCATCTTCTACAGACATTAGATACGTTTTTTTCTTCTTACAAATTTGCCCTAGCTAGATAATCGGTAACTTCTAATATATGTTATTTTTATTTAGATTTCTGTTTCTTTGATAGTCTATTAGCTGATTGTCTTTTTATAGATTGACGGGGCAAATTTTAGGCAATTATGTGTTCTACTAAATTTAGACTTCCTACTTGTAATATATTTAAGTTGTAAACTTTACCTTGTTTTAGATGGTTTAGATAATAAATATCTTTAAACTTTACCTTGTTTTAGATGGTTTAGATAATAAATATCTTTTAATTATCCCAGTGTGATTACCACGGTAGTAACCAACCCACGGTCCAGAACCCAGTAAGAGAAGTAGAAAACTTACCGATGGCTACAGGCAGCGTAACACCAATAAAAATGAAGATGAATATAAGAGTCATCACAATAAAGAGCCCACAGTCATGTCCATTGAAGGCAAAGGTAGCCTATGAGTGAAGCGACGAGCAGTGCAATGTACCTGCAAAAAATTTAGGCAACCAAGAGGGGGTGAGAGAAAACAGAGAGGGAGAAGAGATTAATATTAGAGTCGAAAAGAGAGTGAGAATAAGAAAAAACGACATGTCAATGTCATATACAATTCAACTAACCAGAACTGCTCATCATATCCAACCCACTTGTCATTCCAACTATGCACAAGGAGAAATAGCCCAGAACCAAACTTCGAAATCGTCTTCGTTTACACAAACAACTTTCACGGTGCAAATCCAATATGATGAAAAGATACAGATGGGCTGGGCGTTCGGTTCGGTTTTCCAATTTTCGGTTTATGAGATTACACTGAGTGTTGTTGAACAAATTTACCTCCTATTCAACTTCTATCAGCACACTTTTCACACATATATGTGCTAGGAAAATTTTGCTTAGTGTTCTAACTTCTATCAGCAATTCAACATTAAGTAAACTTGCCATTTGCCAACGTCCAAGCCCCATATGAAGTGCCGACTCGTTCTCTGTTGTTGAACTGCCAAACAACCAACCGAAGACAGTACACACTACACAGGCAACAAGAGGCATCAAGCCATCAACAACACAACAACCAACACATAGAAAGACCAGAGTGAGGACGGAGGCGGAGTCTCAGTCAGACAGTCACTATGTCTACACTTGACAAGTGACGAGAACGGAGGACGGACGGAGGCAATGGACTATCGGACGAGTGTTGTGAGATGGGTCGATGAGAGTCATTGTTCTCTCGTCGAAATGTGAGTTGTGAGAGTGTAGTATTTAGGGATTTCAATTTTCAGTCATGGGAGTTTCAATTTAGGGATTCCGAATTGAGAATTGGGTAATTCATAAGTGTGGGAGCTACAGTGGGTCTCTCCCAAATGCCAAATTGTCCAAATTTTAATGGGCTATTGACATTGGATAGGTTGGGCTGTAAGTGTAGTATAGTGTTAATGTATTAAAATTCGGCTTTTCAGTTAAATCGAATTAATTTTGTTTAAAATCGAAAACCGAACCGAATAACTGAAATTTTAAAACTGAAAACCGAAACCGATCGATCAAACCAAAATTAACAAAATTTCAATTCGGTCGGTTTTTGCAGTTTAAACCGAAATATGCCCAGGCCTAGTCACTCACAGTTTGCTACTCTTGAACAATGATTCAAACACATTTTTAAAAAGGATTCTTGTGAATAGATATACTACTCTATGTATCATATCATATCACTCATTGAATAGAGCGCTTAGACAAGATAAAATAGATACGCAAGCATAAAAAGAACAACTACTTCTGCTAACAGAGTACAACTACAAATATGCTCCAAATAAAGGGATGATACTGGAAAACATATCAAGAATGGTAGCACATTTGCGATCCAAATCAAAGGGACAAGTCGTGGAGCCAGATTCCACCAAAGCACAAAGACAAGGTTCAACGTTTACTTTGTAGGTCATACACACAATTATAAGTTTCTTTTCTTCTTTGTATATTGATATGGAGAAACAAATATAAAAGTAAAGAAACTGCACAACTACCTTAGGAAGGATACCATAGAAGCTGATGATTCCAATTGGAAGGAAAAACATAAATATTACCAAGATGCACCAACAAATGATTTCATCATCCAACCACCATAGTGCACACCGTCACGTGGACCTTTCTGGCTCTTTACACCAATCATCAAGATTGCTAAAATAGTGAAAAAGAGAAAGTTCCCCAGGCAAACTTGCAGTACAACATCTGTTTCAAACTACTCCCTGCTTAGTGTTGTATGAAAGCTATTAATCCCTGCAATATAATTGATATGTAAAGCTATCTTGTACGAGTAAAAAAGCCAATCCCAATTAATGAAAAATTATTAGCCAAATCAAGGTCAAGGTACCGTATAATCATCTTGATTTGGCTTATAACAAATTAACAATGAGCTATGAAAAGATGTTCACAACCATTAACTCGGGATGCAACGGATAATTAGATACATACATAAAGTCAAGCACGCATCTTATTCTCTGACATAATGATTCTTTGTGCTAACAATATAACATCGTCAAGGTTTCACATTTTGTGAAGTCTAGCACATTTGAGTCTTTTTTTGGGTAACTGAAAAATATCGTGTTTACAGTTCCAAGCCGATCGATAATGAGCCTCCACTTCTACTTGGTTCATGACAAAATTTAAACTCGTGACATGTGCCTACCATACAACTTCCAATGCATTACTCTTGCTATTGAACCAAAGCCCTAGGGGTAAGTATTTCAGCTTTTCCAAAACTCATAATATTGAAGATTCCAACTACAGAGCCATTCGGAAGAGTGAGCCCAGAGAAGCAACAAAATAAAACAATGCATGGAAAATAATTTTCAATAAGCAACGCAAACCGAAAATATAAAGAATTAAAGGCAAATTAATAAGCCAAATCTAATCTAAAACTCTATACACTAAATCATCTACTATATAAGTAAACAGGCACCATAAACGAATATATGATCAATTAAAACTGAATAAATATTTATTTTACAATAAATACTATATCTAAACATATGGTTAATAATATATATCCCAACAACATGTCAAGCCTTTTCATCACTAAAATCCAACAAACATAACTGAAAATCTAACAAAAGCAACAAAGCAAGTAAAATAATAATCCACAAACTCAGGTTTTCCTTGTCATCAAAAAATAATAATCCATAAACAAGTGCAATCAAAAGAGATTTACCTGGGATTTTCTCCATGAGAAAAGCAGCTACCTCCCTAAGAATCCAGGACACAATGAGTGACGGAGCAAAAAGTCCATTGTATGCAATCCTAGCTGAACGCTGGCTTATCCCTGACACCACCGTCTGGCAAGAAGCTGCACACATCCTTAATTCAGTTCTTTATGCTTTTTCCGACTCACTTAATCGCACAAAATTGCAAACTCGAACCCTAAATTCCAAAAATGAAACCTTAAGCTCACTTTTTTCTCCCCTTCATCAATAAGAATAATCAAAAATTGAGAAAACTGTTGAAAAAATGATTAATCTATGAATTCAATTATTTAAAAAAAGGTCAGGAAAAATTAATTACGGTGACTAGAAGGGTGATTACCAAAAAAGGGAAGTTCTAGGCACTTCCCTCTGTGACAAAACTTGTCAGATGCATGCATACACAAGATTTTTTTTATTTTTTTTTGTAAATGCATACACAGGAATCAGGATAAGTTTCTTATTATTGTTATTTTTTGGGTTAAGAAAAATAACTAATACAACATATGTATATGATCGACCATATTAAACACTCTTCATATAATACTTATACTAAGCTACTATAATAATTTATGATAGGATACGGTACAGTAATTTTGGGGTTCAGTTTTTAAAATTATTATATCATTATCATATTAATTTAATTCACTATTTTGAAGTTTGGTTTTGATATTTTGTGATATGATAATTTGGTAATCATAATTAATTTGTTCAATATATCCTTGATCTATATATCCTTGATGAATAGAAATCTCGATTTGTTGCCTGCTCAAGTGTCGTATCTCCATTTGAAGCACATTGTTGATTAGGACATCTTTCTCTACCTCTGTTGAATTGTCCTCAGTTTCAACATATTTTCTCATTGGAATGTGAGTCATGTAAATTTGCAAAACACCATCGCATCTGATCACTAGGTCCAACGGTTAATAATCGAGTTGAGTCTGCTTTTGAGTTAGTACATTCAAATGTTTGGGGACCATATCCTATTGTTTCTAAAACTGGGTATAAATATTTTGTAACTTTTGTGGATGATTTTTCTCAAATGACTTGGATTTACTTTATGAAGAGTCCATCTGAAGTGTTTACTCACTTTACTGCCTTCTATGCGAAGTCAAAACTCAATTTAGTGCCTCAGTTAGGATTCTAAGGAGTGATAATGCTAAAGAATATATGTTAGAATTATTTCGGTCTTACATAAGAAAACACGGTATCCTTCATCAGTCTTCATGTGTTTTTGATACACCTTCTCAAAATGGAGTTGCTGAGAGGAAGAATATGTATATATTTGAGACAGCTCTGACACTTTTGTTCCAATTGAAAGTCCTCAAACAATTTTGGGCTGATGCAATCGCTACAACTTGTTTTCTGATCAACTGCATGCCGTCGACTATGTTGGCAGGTAATATGCCTTATAGTGTTCTTTTTCCAAACAAATCACTATTTCTGGTGGAATCTAAGGTGTTTGGAAGCACATGTTATGTTCGAGATATTCGACTATTTGTTACTAAATTGGATCTAAAGGCGTTAAAATGTGTTTTCTTGGTATATTCTCAACTTCAGAAAGGGTATCGGTGTTATTTTGTTGAGCTTGGTAAATACATAGTGTCAACTGATGTGGTATTTTCAAAGGCTACACCATTCTTCTATGCATCTCCCATTTCTACAAGTGAGGTGGAGGAAGATGAGTGGTTGATGTATCAGGTTACTCGTGCTGTAACAAAACAATCAGATGATGATGTTCTTCCATCTTCTAGTTCATTCATTGAGAATCAAT